CGCCCCGAGCGCCGCGGTGCTGCGTCGAGTCGCCCGCGTGGAAGAGCGTGCCGGTCGACATCGACTTTGCGAAGGACGACGAGCTGGCCGTCCTGGAGGCCGCGCTGGACGACGCCGTGGCGGTTCAGGACTTTGCCGCCGCGTCCTCGCTGCGCGACAGGCTGCAGCGCCTCCAGTCCGCCGCGTACGTCGCCGTGCTCTCCGCAAACCTCAAGTTCTACACCGCGTTCGAGCGCGCCTCCATCGTGGACATGGCCGGCGTCTGGCTCCAGGACGCGGGCGTCGCTTGTAAGCATCCCATGGGCCCGTTCTGCGTCGGGTATGTCGAGGTTCTTAACAGCTTCGGCGCTTTCTTTTCGTACGGCGTGCCCCACATCGCGCCGAAGAATGTCGTTATTACTATGAGGGGGGCTTGCGCGTGGGCGACGTGTGATGAGCATTGCTTTGTCGTCCAGGACATCGAGAGGCTCACGGAGGACGGGAAGACCGTCGTCGAGACTAAGACTAGCGAAGTCGTTATGACCGCGACTAATATTTTTGTCAAGAGGAATGGCCAGTGGTATTTGAGCCACCATTCCTCGATGCCCATCTCGTAGGGAGCGATAGGCTTACTGTATTGTAAATTATGACAACTGGGGATTGCGTGTTCGGGCAAGTTTTTAAAAGGGTGTGGGTTGGGAGGGGGTGGGAGGGGGTGGGAGGGGGTGGGAGAGAGGGAGGAGGGGGGATGTGCGCCTTGAGTGCCTTGCGCGAGGACGGCGACCGGAGAGTAGTCGGAGCTCCACTGGGACGAAAAGCTGAGGATCGAAGTGTCGTTGCTCGTTGACGTCATGACAGAATACTTGTACCTTTGGTGCCAATGCTGCCAGCAGCACTGCTACTGTATTTTGATTGCTACGGTATTCATACACACGGTATTGCAGCTGTCGAGAGAATTTTTCTAATTACCCCGCAACCATCGCAAGCGCTAAACGCCCATTCCTCATTTCTTCGCATAGAGAACACCGCGTCGCACATACTGCACCATTCGCGTGATCCTCTCCCAGACCGATCCCCTCCCAACCGATCCGCACCCGACGCCATCTCCCCCGATGCTTGCGTCCCGCTGACGCCAGCCCGTGACACCATGCCGTCCGCGACCTGGGCCTCCGCCCTGGTCTTCCTCTTCCTCGCGACCCTGTGCGCCCTGATTCCGCCCGTCTCCGCGGCGGAGTGGTCCAAGCTCAAGGTGTGCTCCGATCTGGGCTTCTGCCGTCGCCAGCGGCACTTCAGCCTTGCCAGCGGCCTGGCGTACTGCGTCGTCGTCGACACGATCGGCCGCGCGCAATGGCGCGGCATGCCGGCCATCGTGGCCACCGTCGTCTCCACGGCCCCGGGCCACCCGGATCTCACGCTCGCCGTCATGGACGTCGGCATGCACACCTTCCGCGTCGCCCTCCACGAGGTCGAGCCCCTGCTCCCGCGGTACGTCGTGCGCGACGCCCTGGCCGACGGCGTCCAGCCGCGCTCGCTCGACGACGCCACCCTGGTCATACACGCCGATTATGCAAACATCTTCAGGAGCGACGCCCCGGCAAGGGTCAGGATTATGTTCGACCCGTTCAGAGTCGAGCTCGTGAGAGAGGATGATGCGCAGGTCCTCGCAGTCCTCAATGCTGACGACAGGCTGCAGGTCGAGCCGCTGCGGGAGAAGCCGCCGCCGAGTCCGAGTCCGAGCCCGAGCCCGAGCCCGAGTCCAGAGCCTTCGTCGAAGGAGAAGGCTGAGGGCAGCCCGTCCGATGCCAAGGCGCCTTCTGTGGCGGGAGCCACGCCCGGGGAAGAGAACGAGGACGCCGGGGACGATGACTATGACGCGTATGAGGACGAACATGATGACGAGGTTACGGGCGTCGCACGGAAGAAGGAAGGAGAGAGTGGTGACGAGCGTGGCGATGGCTGTGACGGATGCTGGGAGGAGAGGTTCCAGAGCCATACGGATTCCAAGCTCCGGGGGCCGGAATCGGTTGGTGCGGATATGGCATTTCCGTTTGCTGAACACATATACGGCATTCCTGAACGTACGAAGCGCTTTTCTCTGGAGGACACAGTTGACGCGGAAGGGAACGCCACGTCTGAACCGTTTCGGATGTACAATCTCGACGTCTTCGAATTTGAGCTTGACAAACCTCTTGGCTTGTACGGCGCCATTCCCTTCATCACAGCCAGAAACAAGGCAGATACGGTGGGCATGGTATGGTTGAATTCGGCAGAGACTTTTGTTGATATCCGAGCGAAGAAGGATTCCGCTGGCAAGAGCACGCACTGGTTTTCGGAAAGCGGCATTATTGATGTATACTTTCTGCCTGGCCCTTCGGCGAAGGATGTTTTCCAGCAATACCTGAGGTTGACTGGTAGTCCTGCGATGCCCCAGCGATTTGCCTTGGGATATCATCAATGCCGATGGAACTACAGAGACGAAGCAGATTCTAAAGCTGTCGATGCTGAGTTTGACAAACGCGATATTCCATATGACGTGCTGTGGCTTGACATCGAGCATACTAATGGCAAACGCTACTTCACATGGGACTACAGTCGCTTTCCAGACCCCACTGCCTTGCAAAATCACATCGCCGCGCGTGGGAGAAAAATGGTCACAATCATTGATCCTCACGTCAAGCGCGACAAGAACTATGCATTGCATCAGTTTGCCACTGAGCAAAAGTACTACATCAACAAGCCCGATGGCACCCCTTTTGATGGATGGTGCTGGCCAGGATCATCTAGTTACTTTGACTTTACGAGCCCGACAGTTCGGCAAGCGTGGGCGAGTCGGTTCAACCCCAAAGATTACCCTCATTTTACAGAGCATTTATACACATGGAATGACATGAATGAGCCGTCGGTGTTCAATGGACCAGAGGGCACAATGCAGAAAGATTTGCTACATGGCGATAACCTTGAACATCGTCATGTCCACAATATCTATGGGCACTATTTTATGCAAGCTACGTTTGAAGGCCTGCTACAAGGTCATGGTGGGAATGACAGACCGTTTGTGTTGTCTCGCAGTTTCTTTGCAGGAAGTCAGCGATACGGGGCGATATGGACTGGAGATAATACAGCATCATGGGAGCACTTGGCGAACAGCGTTCAAATGCTACTACCGCTTCAGATAACTGGAATGGTTTTCTCAGGGGCAGATGTCGGAGGATTTTTCGGGAATCCTGCGCCTGAACTTTTGACAAGATGGTATCAAGCTGGTGCTTTCCAGCCATTTTTCAGGGGGCATGCGCACTTAGACACGAATCGTCGGGAGCCGTGGCTGTTTGGAGAACCTTTCACCGGTTTGATATCACAGGCGATTCGAAGGCGTTATGAGTATATTCCATTATGGTACACTTTGTTTGCTGGAAACGCGTTGGGCCAAAGTGGGGAATTCGGTGAAAGTTGGCGGGGACCACCCATGCGTCCCATGTGGTGGGAATTCCCAGAGGATGAGGAAGCAGACACGAACGAAAGGCAATGGATGGTTGGAAATGCGCTCTTGGTTGCTCCAGTTGTCAAAGAAGGAGCATCTAAACATACAGTGTACTTGCCAGACAATGAGTTGTGGTACGATTTGTATGATCCAAGCGGGTTTGGAAAGGCTGTTGTCAAGGCTGGGAACGTAGAGATAGAATGCGAGTTGGACCGCATGGTGGTTCTACAACGCGGAGGGACGATCGTACCAAAACAAGAACGGCGGCGTAGAAGCACTGCGGCAATGGGGCGGGATCCGTATACGCTAGTAGTGGCCCTGAACGCGAGGCGAGAAGCGGAAGGGGAGTTGTACATGGATGACGGGAAGTCGTACGACCACAAGAGCGGGGCATACGTGGTGCGGCGGTTTAGGTTTGCCGACAACACGCTCTCGGTGGAGACTGTCGGAGGCGGCAAGAAACCGTTCCATGGCAGTGACGCGCTGGTCGAGCGGGTGGTGATTTTGGGATACGGCGGTCGGGGCGCGGGGTCTGCGACGGTGGAGGGACGCACTGTGGACGTAGCGTACGCGGCTTCTACGGGGGTGCTGACGGTGCAACGGATTCAGGTCAAGGCTGGAGATGGGGACTGGGCGTTGAAGGTGGAGTGAGCGTAGAAGGATTGTAATAGGTAACGTGAAGGAGACTCAAGTTGCAATACAGACATCTGTAGAAGCAAATTTGACTCTCTTTTTAAACATAACAGGTACCCTTGGGTACATAACTCTTGTTTGCACGCTGAATTTGCAGTTGAGTGTCTCCATTGTACACGTGTGACACGTGTGAGATTGCGCTGCTGGCTTGGCATTGCCTTCAGTGCCATCGATTCCCAGTGAGAAACACGCCCCACCTCACAACACAATACAACAGGAGAGAACCTCCCCTTCAACGCATCCGACTCCCCGGCCCCATCCTGCCAAACGGTCTTCATCTCCCCCTCAGCCCGCCTCCCCCTTGCACGCCTCCATCCCCCAACCTCCCCTCCCCTACCATGCCCCGAACTGCCACTTTTCCCTATTCTCCTACTGAACTGCTACTTTTCCGAAATTAGCCTACTGATAAAGCCAAATGGCACGAGTTCGCCAACGAATCGTGATATTTCCCATTAGAAAAATATTATACAATTATAGGTGTGCCGGACGTTATGATTTTTAGGTTTGACACGTGGATTTCTGGACACGCGCACCGAAAGAAATAAAAAATATGCTGGAGGCTGCCGCGAGTGCAGCCAGAGAAGAAAGCGAAAAAAACTCCCCAGTTCCCACACAACACACCTTGCTTCCGATCATGGAACACACTTTATCACACCGTATCTTAAGTGCTTGTACTGTACAGAGCGATC